TTACTTTATAGTCTTTTGTACTGAAATGCCAAATTTCCTTAAAAAAATCTCAAAAAATTGTTAAGGAACTTTCATATCAAATTTAACGATTTAATTTTTCGATGAAAATGAAGGTTTCATTCTGCGGATCTATCTATGCTATAGCCATAATATCTGCATTTTTAAAATAATTAAACGAATACAAAAATTTTTATTACGGATCACGTTGGTCTTGAAGTACTTGGGCTGCCTGTTCTAACGTAAATATGGCTAGGCATGCTTGTGGGTCCAGGTCGGTGCACCGATTTGGATCGATGGTTGGGCGTTGTACAAATGGAGGCTTGTGGAACTCCTGGTTGTGCTGGCACTTGAATTGCTTGTTTGCATACATCAATTACCTTATCATCAGCATTTATATACGAAATGAGAAGTAAGAGAGAGAGATAAATGAAATACATGGAAAGCTTGTCGAAATTCAAATGAACTATTCAACACTTTTCATCGCCTTTTTATACTCATTTGCATCTTTCGGCAGGAAATATTCACTAACCAAATAGCAATATCAAATGAATTTTTCAATTATTTTTTAATTGTTTTAGTTCCAAAAAAACTTCGAAAAAAAGGTATTTCCTCTAATTTTGTTTATTTTATGATTATATAATATTAATTTTTGAAATAATAATAGGTTTTAAAGCTAATTCATTTTTTAATTTATTTTCATTCGTTTTTCATTTGTTTTAGTACATAAAAAATCGAAATGAAATTGAAAATTTGAAATTTCCAGAATTTCAAATTTCCAGAATTCTTATGGATTACGAAGGGCAGAAAACATTTCACTAATTTTCTATTACTACTATTTTTCTATTCACTACTTTTTTTACAGAAATTTTATAATGAGAAAAAACCGATCAAATTCTTAAACCCCGATATCGCCCCGTTCACGACTCATGTGATAACTTTGAGGAAAACCATTGTTCTATAAAAGAATTTCGCCACAATATTACTTTTTTCTTAGGCAAAGATTATTAATATTATAATAATCTTTGCCACTAATGTGATTAATATTATTGTTATTATTTTTGTAATTTTATTATTGATTTTTTCATTAACATCGCTTTTATTATAAATATTATAAAATATTATTATAATATTCCTTTCCTTTATATAATATTATATAATATTAATAATATTATTGTATTATTTATTTACTGAAGACGAGCCAAACAGGACACAAACACCATATGCTTGCATTAATAACAACAGTTAAAATAACAAATAATAAGAATTAATGATAAAAACAAAAAAATTATAATGTATATAATGATAAAATAAAATAAACAATTTAAAGATGAAATAAAGAGGAAATTACAGAATAATATAATATAGTACAAATCGAAATAACTATAATCGGATGGTAAAAATCGAGATGTCACACTTCCTTCATGATGTGAATTTTAAAGATAGCTAAAGAAAGATAATAATATTATAAATGATATTATTTATTCTTTTTTTAAAGATAGCTAGGGATGGCAGACAAGCTATATCGTTCGGCAGTTCATTCCAGTAATATTACGAATAAAGTAATCATAAGTCCTCAGTTTAGTTTTACACATAGGTTTTAGTAATTTAAGTCCATTAGTTCTTATTGGATTTAATTTTAACCTAAAATTATAATATTTTGAATCTAGTTTAACATAACCATACAAAATCTTATAAGTACAAATTAAATCTTGTTTAATGCGAAAATCCACGTTATATAGTAGAAGTTTTCTTTTATAATTAGGAAGAGGCGCCGTATAAAATATTTTTGAAGTCCTTCAATTATTTTACTTGATTTGCGATATCTCGAGGAGTAACATGTAGCACTGTGTCAAAAAATGGCCGTACGAACACTTTTACATTTTAATATGGAAATTTTCAGTTATATTCTTAAGCGAAAAAAAAAATTTGGTACCTTTGAGGATTTCTTTATCATGGTTCTGCAGTGAAGGTCGAAATCAAGATTTTCATCCATGATTATTCCAAGATCGGAAATGACTCTACTGATTATATTGCCATTAATAATAAGATTAGGAAAATCGAAACCTTTAATAATTGATATAATAATTGATATTTCTTAAAATAATAATTCTAATAATTGAATCTTATTATTATCTTATTTTAATTAATATTTCCAAAAAGTTTTCTGCTTTGGTTTTGATATTATTTTTTTTTAAGCAAATGCGAACGAATGTATCATAAATAAATCATAAATGATAAATCGCTTTGAAAAAACATTTGACATTTCAGGAGACCCTATAAGCAACTAAATATTGTGCATTTCCTTGATTTTACGGTTTTCCCTAATTTTACAAAAAAAATTTGTTAATTTGAACATTTTTCATTAATATTATCTGCAAAAATCTTAATAAATCATTTTTTCGATTGCTTATTGGTTATTTTCGAAATTTATGAAATTCATAATTTCACAAATTCTGTTTGAAAATTTTGATTTTCCGAATAGAAATGATAAATCATTATTTTTCCAATGGTAAAATCATTGTAAAAGGAAAGATTTTGACCGCCAGCCATTTTTTACAATTTTTCTGCTTGAAGGAGAATAATTCAATTTCAATTTTCTTTCAGTTCAATTCGATGTTTACCAAATATTGAGTTAAAATGTTTGAACCAACATAGGTGATGTAACATGGACGATTATTCACTTAAATGATTATTCTTATGGACCCGAGGACACTGTCTAGATAAAAACGACAATTGTGGAGCTATATTCCTATGTAAAGAACGGATTTTTTTCTGTGTCAACGAACTTTTTGACTTAATGGCCGTACAGCAATAATGAAGCATTGAGTACATTGAGTACTATAGCAAGAACTACGAACTTTTTTACTTCTTTTAATAATTGCTTTTCTTTTTCCAGGCTACTTTGATGAAAACAATCATGAATGAAATTGATGAAATGAAAATTTTATCCATTTTATCACATGGCTTATTCAAATTTGCATGAATTCTACATGAATCCTAACCAGTCAACGCTTGAAGTTATATGGGATTAAGTAGAATTTTCAGATTTTGAGTAATCAAACTCATTTCTCATGCTTATTGCAATATTTGCAGTATTATTTCATACAAATAATGAATTCTTTTATTGAACAACGATTTGTAAGAGGAAGGACGGTTTAATATTCTAATTTGTGAAAATTAAAATTTGAAAAATTGAAATTTTCTCTTTCCCAAAATTTTAAATCTTAAAAATGATCAATAATAATAAAATAATAGAATTAAAATGAAGATTTGCTTGTTAGAGATAAAACTAAACGAAAAAATAAATTTTTTAACAAATTTGAACAAAATTAGATTCTAAAAAGCATAATAATATTTAACTGAAATTAGAGAATGTCTGGAATCGTAGAATGTTTTTTCAAAGTGATTTTTGATAGCACATTAGTTTGCGTTTGCTTATTTCAATATCAATTATTATTAAATTAATCTTAATAATTTAAAAAGAAAGTAAAAGTTTATTACGGTTATTCATTATATCATTGAATCGTTTATCGAAAAGTACATACAAAGAAATATTCGGAGATTTGGGAATCGATGAATACCATAATCATAAATAATCAATGATAAACATGTCATATCAATTTCATAGGTCCTGCGGAATCCGCAATATTCTTTAAACTGAGGGTGCAAATATGAATATAATATGTAATAATTCATAATGAGATTACATAGCTACCTGCGGTGCAAAAAATTCCCATTCAATCAATACTACGTATGAAGAATAGCAATTGCAGGCAGTGGTGCAAATATTTTGATCAAATATTTTTTATGAATAGGGATTGTCTGAAAAAAAAAGAAATAGAATTTCCTTAATCGCTTTAATTTGAACGGAAAATTCGTTAATTTTAAAAATAATGAATACTAAAAAATTATGAACTTACTAATATATTTTGACGAAAATATCAAAATTTAATCCAGAATCATGAAATTTTTTTTTCAAAGGGGTTTCTGATTTCTAATAGTGCGTCAATCAAACGTGGCATCCGATGCCGAGGAAAAAACATCTTTTGTCATAATAATCATTTATCATAATAATAAATGAAAGTACTATTGTAATATTTATAATATAAGCGATATATGTACTAAAATCAACAATATAGCAATAATAATAATAAGAATAATAATGATAATATTTACATTAGTGGCCAATGATTTTTATATTTTTATATGTATTTTTCACTGCACTTTATTTTCAGGAAAGAATAGTCGTTTAGCCATAAAAAAAATTATCTTCGAAAAAGTACAAAAAGAGTTTTAAAGATTCAAATGTTCTACTAATACTACCAAAAACATTCTAAAATTTCTATGAGAAAAAAATGTATTTCAAATTTTCTTCGAATTTCTATTCATAAGAGAAATGATAAATGATAAAATGTGTGATAGTGTTAATGTAATAGTGAATATAATAATTAATATTCAATAATAGTAATATTAATTCTAATAATAATAGAAAGACTTTTTTCAAAGAGATTCCTGATTTTTAATATTACGTTAATTAAATCAAACGTAGCATCCGATTCCGAGAAAATATCATTTATCATAAAAACCTCAGCAATAAATGAAAATATTATTGTAATATTTATAATATATGTACTAAAATCAGCAACATCAGCAATAATAAAGATAATAAAAATAATAATAATAATGATATTATTTACATTAGCGGCCAATGATTTTTATAATATTTATAATATAATATTTATAATTTCCACTTCATTTCATTTTCGGGAAAGAATAATCCTTTAGCCATATAGAATAACTGTGCTAAAATTCAATTAAAGAAATTGTCTTCGAAAAAGTACAGAAAGAAAGAGTTTAAGGTTCAAATATTTTACTAATACTACCAAAAATATTTTAAAATTTCTATAAGCAAAAATGATGAAAATGATAAAAAAAATTATGAAAAAATTTTTCCTACACCTCGTTTTCCATAAAAATTTTGTGGTGCTCTTGAAATTTCCTTCGAATTTCTATATATTAGACAAATAATATGTGATCAATTATATAATAGCGTTATAGCATATCGTTGTTATAAGAATTAGGCAAATAATTGGAAAATTCGTTTGATTGTTTGGTTAATAATTATTTCCTGTCGAAATATACAAAAGAGCAGCTATATGTAAAAAATATATGAATATAAAAGGTAAGCAAAAGTGCCAAATAATTTTGAATTAGCTATAATCACAGCTTACTATGTACTTCATATTTCTATTCTTATTTTTTGTTCCTTGCGTAAACGCTGTTGACAATCCTATTACTGTATGCAATAAAGGAGTTCAAGTACCAGCACAGCAAGGTAGAGTTCAACAGCCACCTGCGATTGTACAGCGTCCAACCATTGATCCAAATCGGTGCACCGACCTGGACCCACAAGCATGCCCAGCCATATTTGCGTTAGAAGAGAGAGAGGCACCACAAATACTTCAAGACCAACGTGATCCGTAATGAAATTTTTTTATTCGTTTAAATATTTTAAAAATGCAGATAGTATCGCTATAGCATAATAAGATCCGTAGAATAATCCACTAAATGAATTTTTAGAGGAGGAGAATTTTTTCATTTTCATCAAAAAATAAATTAGTTAATTTTGATATGAAAAATCCTTAACAACTTTTGTTAGAATTTTTTAAGGAAATTCGGTATTTCAGTACAAAAGACTACAAAGTAAGCGAAAAATGCCAAATGCCAATTTATATGCGTTTAGCCGAACAATTATGTCCACACACATGCGCAATGTGTTGCAAAACAAGAAAGTTCAACTGCAGAAATGGTTTTGATGGCCTTTTTTAAATATTTTCAAAACTACATTACAAATTAAGTTAAAAAACCTTTAATATACTAATGCTGAATTTTCAGTTGCACAATGCGAAAATTTCTCGCAAGAAATGTGCAGAATGCCTTCTCTCACTAAAATAGCGTTAGAATTTTGCCCACATACATGCGGACTTTGTGATCTCCCTGGTGCTGGTGGTGAATGTCCGGACAGCATTGATGGATGCGAAAGTTTGAGGGGATTTTGTCAACTTGATTCGATTAGAAATATTTGCCAGAGAACCTGTTTTTCACGCGCTTGTCTTCAAAACCTCAGAAGTGAGTTGCAAAAATATAGTTCACATTTTTATACATACTTACACCTATTTGCAGTTGCATTAGATCAGATCTGCTGAAAAAAATAAATTCAATTTTCAGCTTCACAGTCTAGTGGCTGCGCTGATGCACACGTTGACTGCCCGTTATATCGGCATCTTTGTAGTATCGGTGATTATGGAATTGTGATGAGAACACAATGTAGGCGAACTTGTGGCCATTGCTAATCGGCATACAATTTTTGCCTATTATATATTCTCTCAAAAAAAGCAAATATAGTATTTAATATTAAATAAATATTATAACTATTGCATTGTCAAATAATATTGCTATTTCTATCAATTGTATTATCAAATAATATCTTTAATCTGCGAAATTCAATTTTTAAGCCATCCGATACAAAAGATTCTTATTTGCATTTCACTCACCTACATTGAGCGTACACTGAGTGATTCGCTCGATTTTGCTATATGACTCTGAGGCGTGCCCGCTGAGCGTGGGTGGTATTAAAAAGTTATCTATCTTCGATCACTCTTGCCTAAAGTTCATTTTACGGGTCCGTCGAGCGGTTAAAATATCACACGATCGCATCCATCTTCACTCAAATACCATTTGCGTTAATAATGTTATTACAGAGCGTCGCCTTCGATGCTTAGGACACGATCTTTGTTGTCCACCACAGGAGTTATAGCAAATTTACTCATTAAATCGTATGGTGCATGGCGTTAAAAGCCAAGAGAGCTAATCAAGACCTGAACCGATGTGGTCAGAAAAGATTTTGAAAGTGTAGATGGAACAGCAATATATGAATTTAGACGATGGAAAATGGAATGGCTTCTATTACTGTCAACGATGGCATTAGACCAGACCGCGTCCTTTGGAAGCGTCTTACCCTCGTAGCCTATGGAGTTAACCTAACCAATAATGATGACAGCTGTTAGGAGAAAAAGAATAAGAGCGTATACTGAATGTATTTCTATTATCCGACCATCATCATCCCAACGTTGCAATCAAGTAAGAGAGAGGTGCAAATCTCGAATAGTAAACGCAGTACTCTGTATAGATACTACTACTAATATATACTACTAATATACTAATATAAGAGTATTTCAGGAATCATGGAGGCATTTATGCGAGCCAGGAAAGCATCTCAACTTTCAATGAGAGGACAGTGTAGGCGTACGTGTGGTTATTTCATTCCTTACTCGATATTCCATGAAAAATGGCTTTCTATTTTCCGTCCAATAAATAAAATTATTAAAAATAAATCAAAAAAAATTATCACCATTAGTATTGAATACATTAGCACCGATCGAATTTGCTCTGATTTCAGTCTTTCTATTATTATTAGAATTAATATTACTATTATTAAATATTATTATATTCGTCACTTTCAAATATTAGCTAGCATCGGTGGTAGAAATCAAAAGAGTTAGAGCTCTAAGATCTCTCATTTCTGGGTGAGCATGCTTCGCCATTTTGTCGGACTGCACAAGTTTTGCCAGATAGACAATTGGCAGGTCAAATGCAAATAATCAGCCCGCATGACCCGTATTATAGACGGTCGTTTCAGATGATATAAAATTGTTATACTTTTCCACTGATAAGAAATCGACAAATGCGTGAAAATAAACTTCGACAAATGAGCGAAATAATAATACTTAATAACTTTTCGATGATTTATAAAAATTAACGCTATCCAATTGCGAAAACGACAGATTTATTCGAAAAATTCTAAAAAATAATTTCCTTTTTATAAAAAGATAAACTTTAGAAATCACTAAAAGTCGGTTC